TAATAAAAGAAAATGGGAAGTTTTTTGTACCTGTACATGGTACATCTTTCTTCTTCTTTTTTCCTATTCCCCTCCCCTCCCTTCAACTCCCCTTTCAGCATGTTGTCTGAGGGTGTGTTGTATATAACCTTTGTCATAAGATCCTTCTCTACATAGTTTCTTCAGCATTTTTATTATAAATGGATGCTGAATTTTGTCAAAGGCTTTTTCTGCATCTGTAGAGATGATTGTATATTTTTAAATCTTGATTCTATTTACGTAATGTATTGCATTCATTGATTTGTATACGTGGAACCATTCAGGCATCCATGGAATGAAACCAACTTGATCATAGTGTATGATCTTTTTATGGGGTTGTTTGAGAGAATTTCAATTAGGAATTTTGTATCTATGCTCATCAAGGATATTGGTCAGTAGTTTCTGTTATTATTGTTGCTGCTGTTGTGTCTTTATCTGGAAAAGTCTGGGCTTAATTCTAGACTTTCTCTTCTGTTCCATTCATCAATGTGTATGTTTTTATGCTAGTAATTGCAATAGCTTTATAGTATTTTTTAGGTAAGAAAGGCTACTACCTTCTGCTTTGTTCTACTTGTTCAAGACTACCTTAGCTCCATACAAATATTAGGGTTTCCCTAGTTCTGTAAGAATGTCATTGATATTTTGATAGGGATTACGTTGACTTTGTAGATCACTTTGGCATTCTACCAATACCAATTCTCTAATTCCTGAGCATGAGATGGTTTTCCATTTCTTTTTCCCCTCTTTCATAATTGTTTTACAGCTTTCACTGTAGAGAACTTTCATGTCTTGGTTAAATTTATTTCTAGAAATTTTAGTTTTGTAACGATTATAAGTGAGATTTTTTTTTATTTCTTCTTTAGATTACAACAGCTGCTTTCTTGGACATAGGAGTTGCTCCTTTCCAGAACCTATAACTGAATCTACAATACTCAGTTTTTAGGTCCCTCATTCAACCAGTCTTCGTGGCATTTCATCTTTTAGCTTTGGCACTCCAGTTATACTTTCTTTGGCTCTTGACTTTTCTTTGGCTCTTTCTTTGGTCCCATTTGCCACAGGTCGACATCTGAAGGAGGAAGGCCTTAGAGCCACAGCAGTAGCACAACATGTGTCTTATTACAGTACTTTCCAAGCAATAATCCCTTCATCATTTCTCTTCAGTTCCTAATACCAAAGAGCACTACTGATTTTCCTCTCTTGATTGTGTAACCTGAAACCTTGCTGGATTTATTGTTTCTGTTAGGTTTTTTCTTTGGTAGAGTCTTTTTGGAGTTTTCTACATACAAGATCATTTAATCTGCAAACAGGGACAATTTGACTTTCTCCTTTCCAATTTAAATGTCCACTATTTCTTTCTCTTGTATAATTTCTCTGACTAGGACTTCTTGTACTATGCTGAATAAAATTTGTCAAAGTAGACATCATTGTTTTGTTAAAGATACTTTCCATATTCAGTACAATGTTAGCTGTTGACTTGTTATACATCATCTTTATTATATTGAGGTATGTTCCTTCAATATCTAATTTGTTTGGAGTTTTTATCATGGGAATGCTGAATTTCACCAAATATCTCTTTTGCATCTATTGAGATGATCATAGGGATTTTGACCTTCATTCTGTTGATATGGTGTATCACATTTACTTGTTTGTGTATGTTGAGCCATCCTTACAAAATAAGGATGAATCCCACTTGATCATAGTAAATAATTTTTTAAAAAATATAAGGTCTCATTATTGTTGAACATATTGACCTCACACTTTTGGATTCAAGCAGTCCTCCTGCATCACAAGTACCTGGGACTATAGGTATGTGTTACTGAGCTTGATTCACTAATCTTTCTATGTGCTGTTGGATTAATTTGCTAGTATTTTCATAAGGATTTTTTATACCTATGTTCATCAAAGATATGCACCTTTCTTTTTTGTTCCCTTGTCTATTTTTGACCTTGTAGAATAAGTTCGGAAGAATCGCATTTTCTTCAATTTTTTGGAATACTTTAAGGATTGCCCTCTGGTGTGAGAAACTGAAAGGGTAAATAAGGGCCAAAATGTATAATAGATATTGTGAAATAGGAAGAAAATGTTCAAATGGGAAGGGAAATTAGGGATGTGGGGAGGGGGACAGGAAGAAAGAGAAAAGGAAAAACAGAGACTAGAAGGAAAAATTGAAATAGCTTTTGTAAATAAGGAAGGGAGGAGGAGTTGAAGGGAGGGGAGGGGAATGGGGAAAAAAAAAGAATTAAGATATATCATGTACATAGCTGGGCATGGTAGTGCATGCCTGTAATGCCAGCACTTGAGAGGCTGAGGCATGAGGATCATGGGGAGTTTGAGGCCAGCCTGGGTTACACAGTGAGTTCAAAGCTAGCCTAAACTGCATAATGAAACCCTGTCTCAAAAAATATATATATCATGTACAAATACAAATTCCCTATGATGAATGTTATCATTAGGTATATTGAAAATATATCAACAAAATTAATTTTATAAAAAATGGCTGCCATTAATTTTTCTTCGTTAAACATTTGGTTGTGGGGCTGGGGATTTAGCTCAGTGGCACAGTGCCTGCCTGACAAGCGCAAGGTCATGAGTTCGATTCCCGGTACCTGAGAAAAACCAAACCAAACAAAACAAAACAAAATGTTTAGTTGCACACAGGAGTGAAGGCATCTGCTCAGGCTACAGCTTTTCCAAGCCTTTCCAAATTACTTCCTGTAAACCACTTCCAAAGGCTTCTAAGCCACATGTTTAGGCAATCACATAGGCAGGCAGTAGGACAGAAGTACCTGACACCCACAGTTTAAAGGAGGAGAGGTTTATTTTGGCTCGCTTTGAAGTTTCAGTCTTTGCATGGTTGGCAGCATGGTAGAAGGACCTAAGTAGAAGAAAGTAGTTCACATCATGGCAGCTAGAAAGCAAAGAGAAAAAGGAAGGAGCTCCCTTCCAGGTCACACTCTCAGTGGCCTGCCTCTCCTGACCACACCCAACCTTCTAACATCACATTTAGCTATAGTTCCTCCATAACTCAATCACCTTCCAAAAGTCCCACCTATGGGAACATGAAGCTCTTGGGGGACATCTAGATGTAAACCATAACAGTCACAAAGCCACTTCCATAGGTATAACAACAACTCTTATTTCTTGGTACCAATTTTCTGTATTATTCCATTTTCCACTGCTATAACAAAATACCAGAGGCTCATTAACTTATAAAGAGGCTTATTTGGACCACAGTTTTGGTAGCTCAAAAACATGTCAAAAACTTCTGCTCAGCTCTTTTGAAAGCCTCTTTGTGGATGGCATCACAGTGACAAGAACGCTTGGTAAGACAAGAAGCCAGAGATCAGGGAGGAATCATGCTCGTTGCTTTAGAATAACTATTTCTAGAATTAACCAGAGTCCCACAAGAACTACACTAATTCTTTCCAAGGGCAGCACCCTAAGTGACCTCCTATCAGGCTCCAAATCTTAATCCTGAATAGAAGTGGATTAAATAATGTAATCAAATGACAGAGACCATCAGACTGAATTAAGAAAACCACCAATCCAACTCTATGTTGTCTATATTCAGAGACATAAATAAATTTAAGGAAAAAGAAGAACAAAAAGCATATCATCATATAGCAACCACAGGAAAGCAAGCCATGGTAGCTATAATAATATCAGACAAAATATATTTTGAAACTAAAAATGTTACTAGAAATAAAGATATATTTTAGCCTAATAAAAGTACCAATTAATCAAAAAGATGTAACAATTACAAACATATAAGCACCATAATATATAAAGCAAATAGGGCACCATAGTACATAAATCAAAAACTAGGAGAAACGAAAGGTAAAGTAAAAACTCAAAAATAGTAAGTGGTGATTCTAATACCTTACTTTATAAGCCCCTCAAAAGAAGATCAGTGAGGAAATACAAGACTGAAAAATATTCTAAAACAACCAGACCTAACAAGTACTTGCAAAACACTCTACCCAACAAAAATGCATTTGTATCAAATATACAAGGAACAGACTCCAGGAAGACAAGATGCTAAGCAATTTTTAAAATACTCAATATATTTAGGAGGGTAAAACTAATGTCAATTATCCTCAGGCCATAGTAGAATAAAATTGGAAATCAATAACAGATATATTTGGAAAACAAAATAGGTAGAAATTAAATGATACATTCCTTAAAAAAGGAACTCATAAAACCTTTGAGCTGAATTAAAATGAATATACAACATATCAACACTTTCAGGATACAACAAAAGCAGTGCTGAAAGGAGAATGTGTAGCTCTAAATGCCTACATTAAGAAGAGCAATCTCAAATCAATAACTTAACCTTTCATTTTACGACACTACAAAAGGAAAATCAAACTAAAATAACCAAGAAGAAGTAACTAATACTAACCACAATGAAATTTAGTAAAGTAATGAAAAGAGACACAATATAGCAAATCAATAAAACCAAAATCTGGTTCTTTGAAAAGATAAAAAGAATTGATAAGCCTTTACCTAATTTAACCAACCAAAAATGACTCAAACAGGGCGTGGTGGTGCACACCTGTAATCCCAGCACTCAGGAGGCTGAGGCAGGAGGATCACTGTGAGTTCGAGGCCAGCCTGTGCTACAAAATGAGTTCAAGACAAACCTCAACTGCATAGTGAGACCTTGTCTCAAAAAGACTAACTATATATAGATAGTAAGAAAAATAAAATGTACAGGGTTTCTTTTGAGGCATATTCTAAAATTGTGGCAATATTCTAAAGTTGACTATGATGATGGATACACATGACTGTGAATATGTATTGAATTATGCATCCTAAATAAATGGATTGTATTAAATTATATCAAAACAGAATATGTTCAATGTTTTATTTTGCTTGATTTTTAAAAACCATATAAATATTACTTTTACTTTATATTTATTTTTAAGAACTTAAAATGTTTTATAATGCCACAAAATCTACTTATCATTGCTTTTTCTTACCATTGTCCCCATTTATTCTTATTTCATAGTCTCTGTAGAGTCTTCCCATGTTTTTCATCATTTCCATCAAGTACTGTTGTTCTGCTGGCATCTCCCCCTCAACACTTTTATGGCGACCAAGTATTCCCGTTCCAATATCTACCCAGCTTTCCTGTAAATGTCTAATAATCTTGAGAGTATCATATTTTGATATTAGGAGGTCTCCAGTAAAATTTTCTTTCTCATTACTTAGTTCCTAGAGAGTAAAGGGAGATAGAGCAGCACATAATTCATCAAAGTCAACATGGATCCTTCTTCCTCAGTGTCTCCCAATTATTTTAGAGCTGCATAGCCTTGTTATGATTCTTCAAACTATTTCTTCTCCAAAGAAGTAGTATGTGTTTATTTAAACTTAAATGAATGTTGTTATCCTATGAGAAATCCATAGCCTATCAGCAGGAAAATTATTACATTAAATCTTATGAGGGTAAAAATTTACTGACAGGGAATTAAGTCCTAGAGAGCCAAGCATATTTTATTATGCTTATCATAGTAAGGTTGTCATATAGCTGTTTACATGATCCCTGCTAAATCAGAAAGGTACCTAGAAAGCATAGTTCTTATTTGACTCATATTTTATTTATCTATCTAACCCCAAGTCCCAAACCAAGAAATACCATTAAATATTAGTGAGAAAATAAAGTGGAATTTACATATAAAGTTTTCTACTGTTTCTTCAATAAGAGTAATTAATATAGGTAGGCATTGTAACAGATCAATTACGAGTAAGAATTGTGAAATGAGAGAGAGCCAGTCTCAAATTCCCACTCTGCCACTTATCACTTATAGATAAGGATTATGAGACCTACATCATGTAGCTGCCCAAAAAGGTAAAATAATATGTGAAAACATTTTAACCTAACAGAGTATTCCATAAGTGAGAGCTATTACTAGTCCTAATAATTAAAGAAGCATGAATTTTTTCAGCTTTTTCTGTACAGGTCGAAACTATCAGATAAAGAGTTTCTAAAAGTCATCATTCCTGACAGTGACTTCTCTGATAGTTTTGGCATGATGTTTGCTATCATATATATTTTATATGCTACATACAGATACAGTTCTGAGACTATTCTGGTCAAATAATTCCAAAAGAAAAAGGTGGAGTCTGGATTGTGGCCACTGGACAACTTGGGTTGATCTTCATTCTTTTTCCCGTTACATGAGGGCTGATCACGAACAAGACCAATGCCTGGGGACAGAAGAAACAGTGCAGCAAGCTGCAGCCCAGCTACACTACTATTGCCGACTCCAAGCCAGCTCCATGCGTTGCTTCCCCTTGGCATGGAATAGCAGAGGCATGGACTAACTGACAGGCCTGTTCTTGGAGGAGGCCGATGCTCAAGGAGACAAGGGTACAGTGGAAAGCTAGCAGACCCACGGCCAATGAACAGGCCTTGCCAGCAGCTTCAGGGATTCCAGGGTCACCCTCCCAAAGTGACAAGATGGGAAATAACCACAGGAAACAGCCATAGAGAGAACGTGGGTTAAAATTAGACTCCCTGAGAAGTGTAAGCTCAGGTTGGAAAAGAATGGGCCCTGCCCTTCAGAGTGAGAAAACAGGTCCAGTGAGTGTTGACATGAAGTCCAACAGTCTGCTTGAACCCCTACCCCATGGCCTACACTGAGAAGACACCAGAGGGTTGGTTGTTTGTGCTTCAGCTGGGACACTTATTACAGTCTGGGGTAAATGGACAAAGAAGCCTTTGGTGCAGGGAGTTCACCTCACACACCCAGAGCCCCTAAAGCTAGGCTAAGAAAAGCATGACTTGCGGGATTCCAAGACTTCAGATTCTGGAAAGAAAACAATCATTCAAAAATAAGAGGTTGTTTTTTTTTTTTTAACTTAATGTTTAAAAAACTTTTTAAAAAGCATTTCTCTTCCTTCCATCTGTTTTGGGGGGGGCAGTTGCTGAACAGCTTGTGGATTGATTTATTTATTTGTTTCCTTTGTTTGCTTCAAACATTTTAACCATGAGATCAGCTTTTGGGGCATTAAGAAGTTTTAGAAGCATCTTGTTGCCTTTTTTTCTCGTGTTTCTACTGTTTTTTGTGCTGAGGATTGAGGGTCACTTAGGGCAGAAAAACTCTTGCTGCTGTGGAGATCTCTTTAGTTAGTGTATATTTCCCTGTGATGTGATCTTGGCTTAAGTTCTATTTTGGTATTTATACATCTCTTCAACCTGTTGAATGCAATAGGATTAGTCTGGGTTGTTACACTGCAAGGAAGAGAATTAGTACTGGTATATCAGGGTCTATGGAGCCAGCATATCCTAGATCAATCACGTCATTTAAAATGATTTAATAATTTCACTCTTTTCAATAACTCAGAAACACTGATATATTACTCCTGACAGGTAGTCTGGGATGTAGAAGATAAAGGAAGGAAAAGGGAAGACAATAACTCACAAAGCAGGAAAGGAGAAAAAGAGATAACAACAAATGAAAGAAAGAAGAGATAGGAATTTGTTGTTATTATTTTTACATCTGGATTGAGGGCCGGTGGAGGGGCATTTGAGAAGGTATTTGTGGGAGTGGGAAAAGGATGAGGAGGGAGGGAAGTATAACCAGAGTTTGAGGGAAGTTGTGAGAAAGTTGAAACCAATTAATAGGCTGGTACAAAGCTGGTGTTTAAACCTGCTATACATCACTTTTGGGGAAGGTTAACCTGACATATCCATGGAAGATGTTATTTAAAATAAAGCACTAATCTTACTCTCCTTCTCACACATAAAAACATATACATATCTCAGATGAAGGGGAAAAATAAGAAACACACACAAATACACAAGAAAAGAACATTCTCAGTACTACAGCATTGATACTGCAGTCAGAGTTCAACCGGTGGGCTCTTTCCCTACATTCACACATGAGAAAGTTTGATTTGTAACGGGGACAGTGTGGATCCAAAGGGCCTGCTGAGCCTTTTTCCTTTCCTCTGTAGTGCTCTGCTGGTTTCAGCTGTACTACTGTGGGTGTGGTTACCTTTTTTTTTTTTTTTTTGCCTCTGTCTTATGATTGGATACCTTCAGCTGTGTCAGAGTGGAGTGAACAGTGTGACTGGTCAGGTGCAGAGTGTGACCGGTCAGGTACCCAGTCTTTCACTGATTTTTGAAAAGGGTTTCTTAATCTCCATCCCTTCCCTCTGTGATCATCCATGCGGCTGCTTACGTCTGCTCTTCCTGTCCCACTCTGGGTGAGTGCACTGTGCAACCCCTCCTGGGTTCACGTTCTTCTCCAGGTCTCCACCCACAATAAATTCTGACACACTCCACAGAGCATCACTGTTCAGCCAACAGACTCAGTGGTGCACAGGGCTCATGGCACTCAGCAGCTTTTTGCTGGGGGTGGGAGGGTTCCTAAGCAGGCCTTAAAGGGCAAGCAATAGGGATGTCACTAATTTTAAAAGTTTAATTTGTCTTAAAACAAAAGTTAGACACAGCATAGGCAGAAATGTTACTTATATCTGACAAATGGATGAGAGAATCAGGTACTACTTCCATATCTCTTCCCATTTTTTTTTTTCTTCTGGTACCCTAACTTTGTCTAAAAATCTGAAACAGAACTGAAAATGCTCCTATTTTTAAAGCCCATGTAGTCTTGCTGTTTTGTCTTTTATGAAACAGCATTTTAAAAGGATGAGATGTGCCTCAGTTGTAGATTAGGAGTTTCAAGTTTACAATCAATACTTCATTTACCAAGCTGTTTATTAGAAAGTCTTGGGCTGGGGATGTTGCTTAGTGGTAGAGCTCTTACTTTGCATGCACAAGGCCCTGGGTTCAATGCCTAGCACCACAAAAAAAAAAAAAAAAAAAAAAAAAAAGGAAAGAAAGGAAGGAAGGAAGAAAACAGAAAAGAAAGTCTTACCCTTTGCCACTGCTTGAGGTCTGAAACAACCAAATCAAATATACCCTCCTTTTCAGGGGGTGGAACGTCTTTTTCCCTGAAAGAAAAATGAGCAAGAGAAATGTCTCATAACAGAATATAAGCAAAATCATAAGTCCTTTTGCTAAATAACAATATTGTTTCTCCTCGACAATTTTCAAGCATGCCTTCCAAGTTCAGCCCTTCTAATTTGCAAGTATAAATATAAACTTAAAATGCGCCACTGACATTGCATCATAGCTGTACCCATATATAAGTAGGGTCACAGCCACCAGTTTCCTGAGGGAGCTTAGCTGTACAGTTAGCCCATAGTTGCCTAGTTTCACCCCAGAAGGTGGTTTCCTCTCTCAGTGAGATTCCAGTGGGTACCATGAGAAAGAGCAGAGCTCCCCAGCCCTTTGTGACTGGCTACTCTGGTGGCTAGTGGAAGACAGTGTGAAGCCTAAGAGACGTGTGTGCGTGCTCCCCGGGCCTGAGCCATGCAGAGACTGAGCCACTGTAGTGAATTGCACAGGACCTTCCACAGCCTCTCATCCAAGGCAGCTGGTGTTCTGTCCCCCACAACTTAGATTTTAGAGGATACTGGAAGCTCAAGTGGAGCTTGGCAGCAGCACTCCGCCCATCAGAGTCCACAGAACTCATCTTTCTAGTGAAAACTCCGTCAAGGAAGTGTCCTGTTCCATGTAACCAACCTTGCACCTGGTGAGCAGGGAAGCTGCAAGTCACTCCACCCAACACGGGCCCCAAGGCCCTGCAGCTGGCAGCTGGGCACAAAGGGAGGAAGATGCAACTGATCCACAGCCTTGCTGCCCCTAACGGCAGCATAACCCAAGAAAACACATATATTCTCTTTTCTTGTAAATAGATGATTGATAGATAGATAGATAGATAGATAGATAGATAGATAGATGGATGGACAGAGATAGAGATATATATCAACAAATATATATATTCTCTTTTCTTTTTATATAGTAGTTTTCTCTTTAATACTATTTTTGTGATTTCTTCCCTTTTTGCTACTTTTTCCTTCTAATACTCAGATTATTTTACTCTTTACTTTCTATTTTTCTACTCCATTTTTTCCAAATTTTTACTGATTTACTTATATATATTTTCTCTTCCTATTTGCCTTTGATTTGTGAGTAGGAGCAGGGAGCAGCCATACATGTGTATGTGGTACTAGGAATAGAACCCAGGAGTGCTCAGCCACTGAACTACCTCCCCTCTCCTTTTACTTTTCTGTTTTACAGTGGGGTCTCTGTGGGTTGCTCATTCCGGCCTTGGCCCTCTGTGTGACAGGGACTGCAGACTTGTACCACTATGTCTGCCATTTTTTTCCTGTCTTCACTTTCTACCTTTCTGCTTTCTGCTTTGTTCTGCTTTCTTTCTTTTCAGTTTTTCAAACATTCTAATTTTTCCTTTTTTTCCCTCCTCATATTGTTTTCTCTCTTAATTACCTGGATTTTTACTATCTTTTAAAACTGCTGAGTTTCTACTTTTGCCAGCCCCTACCATTCCTATAGTGGTTGTTGTTAAGGTTGTGGATGTCATAGTACTGTACTGGGTTTTTACCCTGATGCTGAGGTACAAACCCAGCACAGATAAAACCTTGCCCCAAACACAACCCACCTCCACTCAAACTTTGATCAGCATTTTAATTCAAAGAATAGGGTACATAAAAATCCCCAGCTGATGACTGGGCCCCAAGTGGCCACAGCCTGGGGGTGAAGGAAGTCTGAACACCTGCTCCTGGAATCCACCAACAGAATAAGTGCAGAGAGAAACAACACAAAGACCACGGACAGCACACCCACAAGGGGCCTCAGTATAGGTCACTTCTGTGCCCTTGAAGAAGGTATATTGTTGACAAGACTTGAGGAGTGATCATAGGAATGTAACACGTATATTTTATGGTCTACAACACAATTTCCTGAGCCAACAGAAGGACCTCACTTTGTGAAACCTACAGTGAAAATATGACCAGCGCATACATGTCCAAATATTTTAAGTACCAGCAAAGAAGTGACAAGGAAACCTTACTATGAAATCCACTTGGAAATACAGTGAACACTACAACAAATTCAGTCTCCAAGGACACTGTCAGAGAAGGCTGTTTCTTAAAAAGGCCCTCATATAAAAATGGAGGATATAGCCAACCCAAGAGATGTGCAAATCTCAACACAGAAATACAAGAAAAGAACACAATCTGACACTTCCAAAATGTAATGCCTCCACACTAACTGCCATAGACATCAAAGTAGACAAAATATCACATGAAGAATATTCAAAAGTGATCAAAGACTCAAAGATACAAATAAACAGAACAGAACAGGAACATACTTGAGACAGGAGACAAAGGATATTTGATGAGAAATAAGCCAAGAGAATGAAGGGCTGGGGCTTTCCAAGCTCTGGTGATTTAGTAAAAAAAAAAAAAAGACTCTAGGTTCACTTTAATTTCAGATAAGCAATGAATAATGGCATGAGCATTCATATAAAATAAAATAGTGGGGAATATCAATACCCTACTTTCACAAATAGATAGGTTATCTAGACAAAAATATTAAGAAAGATGAATTAAACTATACTATTGACCAAATGAACTAAACAAATGTCTATAGAGTATTCCACTCAACAATAGCAGAAAATACACTCTTTCAGCAGCTTAAGAGGTTTTTTCCAAAATGGACCATACTAGTCTGCACAAAAAGTTTTAAATATAAAAATATTGAAATAGTCTCATGTATCCTATCAAATCACAATGAAAGGAAACTAGAAATCCCCAACAAGAGAAGACACAGAAACTACGCAGTGAAGATTGCATAACATTCGTTGAACAATCCGTGGATCACTGAAGAAATCTGGGGAAATTTGAAACTTCTTAGGATCAAGTAATAGTGGAAACAATATACTAGAATTTATGGGATACAGTGAAGACAGTTGTAAGAGAGAAACTTATATAACTATGAATGCCTACACTGGAAAAACAGAACAATAATAAATAGCCTAATGATGCTTCTCAAGGTCCATAAGGAGATAAGAACAAGTCGTTCCCAAAACCACTAGAAGCAAAAAAATAATAAAGATCAGAGCTGAAATTAATGAAATAGAGACAAAAAATGCAAAGGATTCATTAATCAAATAATTGAGAAGATAAACAAGATGACAAACTATTAGCCAAACTAATAAAAAAAAAAGATTGATGTTAATAAAAAGTTGATATTACAAGAGATACCACTGAAATCCAGAGGAGTCTTAAAAACTATTTTGAAAACTGTTATTCCAACAAATTAGAGAATATAGAAGAAATAAATACATGTCTAGATACATATAACCTACTAAAACTGAGCCAAGAAGATATAATATCCTCTAAATAGATCAATAATACACGGAGACTGAAACAGTAGTAAAACGTCTCTCAACAATGATAAAACCAGGACTGGACAAACTTATTGCTGAATTTTTCTAGACTCTCAAAGAAGAACTGTCACTATGGCTTTTCAAATTATTCCATGACATAGAAAGGGAAAGAATGCTTCTAAATTCATCCTACAAAGCCAGGATCACACTGATAGGAAAGCCAGATAAGGACTCAGAAAGCAGGGAAGGGAAGGGAAGGGTAGAGGAAAGGAAAACAAAATCATGTCATTTGCAGGAAAATGGATAGAACTGGATACTACCATGTTAAGTGAAATAAACCGGACTAACAAAGACACATAGCAAGTGTTTCCTCTACATGAGGAATATTCAGAGAGAGAGACAGGGAAAGGGAGGGAGGGAATATGAAAGTAGAAGGGACACTATTAAGACAAGAAGATTGGAGGATAGGGGAGGGAAAGGAGAAGGAAGGTAATGGGGGAAATGATCAAAGTACATTATATGCATTTATGAAGATGTTAAAAGGAAAACTACTAGTCTGTAAAAGTAATGTGCATGAACTTAAAAAATCAAGTAGCAATTGGCTATATGATTCTGGACAAGAGATTTTTGACATGAATACCAGATTTTAACAAATTATTAAAATAAAAACAGTTGGAAGCAAAAAAAAAAAATAGAAATCATCTAGTCCAGTCTGTAACCAATGCATACTTTCCCACTGACTTTTATGGCTTTGATTTAGTTATCCAGCCTCAAGTAACTTCTTTATTATTATCTCCTATTATTAAATTACCTTAATCATTACAAAGTAGGATATTTAAGCAAAATGCATCTCCCTGTAATTGCTACACATTCATTCTCCCTTCCTGCACAAACACTGTGCTACAGAATTTGCAGATGGGCCAGGCGCGGTGGCGCACGCCTATAATCCCAGCACTCAGGAGGCTGAGGCAGAAGGATCGTTGTAAGCTGGAGACCAGCCTGGGCTACAAAGTGAGCTCAAAGCCAGCCTGAACTGCACAGCGAGACCCTGTCTCAAAAAAAAAAAAAAAAAAAAAAAAAGAATTTGCAGATGGGATCCTGATACTCAAGTTTTCCAAAAGTAGTGAAATAAGTTGACTTTATTTTTAAAAGATAAAAAAGAGTTGGACTTAAATGAAAGAAGCAACAGTTGCGCAGAGTGATCAGGAGGTCCTACAAACATAATTAGCACTAGAAACCATCGGAGTGGTCAAGGTGTTTAACAAAATTCTGGTTACCTCCACAAAAATCAATGTTAAGGTAATTAGAAGGTTGAGGGAGGGGTGTGGAGAGAGTGAGGGAGAAAGACAGAATGAGAATTGCACTGAATTAGACATAGGATAATCAGAAAAAGAAGATTCTCAGAGACTCACTTATTTGCATAGAACTCCTGCCATTTGATAAGGCCACCCTTAACAATTTGCAATTTCTTCTTTATTTCCTCTTCAGTTTGTTCCACATCCTGTTTAAATTTGTTCAGTAAGTTTTGCCATTTGCGTGTCAATTTCTCCAACAGTGCAAGGTCTGCAGTGTCCTAAAATGCATAGAATCAACTTATTTATTCATATAACAAGTATTTATCAACGTATACACCAGACCATTAGTAATAATATAAAACTAGAGAAATACATAGGAAATAAAAAGGGAGGAGATATTACTCTTTTAAAACATCAGTGACATGATTGTTTGGTGATGGGTTTCCAATGGCACATAAAGTATTAGCACAGTATTGGGGACAGGACTTTTTTCCTCTTGACATGAATCTAATTTTCCTGTAGGACTTTCACAGAGGCAGTGGAGTACAGTGGCAAGAACAGGAATCATGAAGCCAGACAGAACCAAACGTGAGTCCTACAGATTTACTGGCTGTAAAACTTTGGGCAGCATTTACTTTATTTGAAGTTAATTTTTATCACTCATAAAGTAAAGTCACCAGTATATTTCTTAAGGAATTGTTTTATGAGTTAAATGAAAATGATTGATGTAAATGGTTTGACACATTAATGCCAGCTCTTTCTTGTTTTCCCTACTGTACTCACTGAATGTCTCCTAAACTTGTACAGAATACATCGATAATACAACTATTTCAATAAATATAGTTACTTACTTTTTTGTACTGTATTTTATTGTATTGTATTTATTTATTTTTGGTACTGGCTATTGAACTCAGGACCTTCCACTTGCCAGGCAGGCGCTATGCTGCTGAGCTATCACCCTGGCCCTTACTTTTATTTTAGTGTAAGTATGAATAACTAGAACTACAAATAACTTTGCAGTATTATAAAGCTTAAATTTCTTTAATTACATTAGAAGAAAAATATACGGAA